TCTCAAAGAACGTCTATGTGGATTAATCCTTCTCATACACTTTCTATCTATGTTTCACCTGGAAGATGTTGGAGAGATCTCTCAGGTTGAAGATGTAGTGGAACTTGATTGCGGTGGGCAGGAAGGAGGAGGAGATGCGCTGGTGCAGGGCCAGGGCTAACTGGACCAGGGTGGAGCAGCTCTTCTGCAGGGCAGTGGTGAAGCCTGCTCCTTTCAAGTGATGAGACAGGATGGAGGTGTAGATGGTGCTCAGGGCCTCAGCTCCAGGAAATGACAGAGCAAAGACTGAGAAGTGCCGCTGTTGGAGACACAGAACAAACAAGGCAACAATAAAAATGTTGTTCCTCAACCTGTGAATGTTTGCAGCATCAAGTAAATGTGCCTTTTAAATTCAAATATGACGATCTCTAATCATCATTAATAATTAATATGACATTTAAGTGGAAAAGTTTAGTTAAACCTACCTATATCTCAGATCATATTAGACCGATGTACAAATTAATGCACAAAGACTGAATCAATGCATGAACAGTAACTTAAAACTGTGGTCACTGTTTTTCTCTAATCTCTAATCAACTCTGCAGACAAACCATGTGGCCAGAAGTGTGTGTGTGTGTGTGTGTGTGTGTGTGTGTGCGTGTGTGTGTGTGTGTGTACCTGCAGTCGTGGATTGATGCTGAAGCTGCCAGCTGTGGGGTTCATGCAGGACACGTATTGAACGTTCTTTATTTCCTTCAACACCATCTTAGTACGGTCATACCTGAGAGTACACACACAAAAAAATCATTATTTAACGGCCTCGATATGCACAGAAAACACACACCCCAGCTCCCACACACCCAAACACCTTCCCCACACTTATGCCGATATGTATGCCTCAGCTCCCACTTAAGCTGGCGTGGCTCAGTAGCATCCTCCTTCCTCTCAATTTCATACCTGAAATCCTCCCAGCATATCTCTAATGGGCTGACTGTGTCTAAGCCAGTCAGCCTGTGTCTGACGCAGTGGAACCATGTTCAGAATGGCCTCACTGTGTCAGAGAGATGAGCAACAAAATCCTTTTAAGGGGAATCATACAAATGCTGCTCTCACATTTGACTTTTGACTCTTATAGAAGCTGTAGCACATTGATACTGAAGCGGGGATCTGTCTGAATACTAAAGGGGAAGCGTTTTTAGCAGAAAGGCTGTTCATGTGAATTATTAGGGTATTACACCTATCAGCTGCTGGCACTCCATTATCTGAATGATCCTCTTCTGTGTTAATACATGGAGAAAATGTCTGAAAGTGTCCATCATTAAGCAATTACAGCATGGAACAGTTTCCCCGCTTCCACCCAGGAAGACGGTCTAGACATAATATTCTTTTTTTAAACTGCACCGTCATGTACCCATGTTTACTCATACTTACAGGAAATGTGTCATAGCTGCAGTATAGCTGCAGTATAATGTCATAGCCTTACCAGTGATTATAGTCCATGTGTTGTCGTATGAGTGTGTGAGGCTGCACGGTGCCGTATTCGTCCACTTCAGGCATATTCATGTCATCTAAGAAGTAGATGAGTCTTCTGCTGCCTGGAGGTCCATAGTTACGCCCTGCTTTCTTCTCTAGGGGCTTCTCCAGCACCGCTGTGTGGGAGAGGAGTGATGGAGCAGAGGTGGAGTTAAGAAAGAGTGAGAACTGAAAAAGATGTAATTTCACAAACAATAATGATACATAACTGGAAGAGTACATAGGAGGATCTCCAAAAGGATCCCAGTACGAATAGGGCTGGGTATCAACCAGACCGAATCACAACGCTGGTGCCTCATTTCAGTGCCTGAGCTTTGTACTGAAATAGTTGCTTTGTTTACAGGCAACAGAAACAATGTCTACATGGCTCTGGCAACACGTATAGATTAAAGGCCTATTATTCACATGGAAAATAATAACAATTCAACTACAGGGTTAGGTAAACCGTGAATATATATATAGATATATAAAAATTAATATCTGCAGCACTAAACACTGTTTACGAAGMTAAATCAATCAGACGTTAATATTTTCTGTATCCGTTGTATAAAGCCTGATTAAGTGCAGGGTTATTACCTTGAAGCATAGCAGATGTAGTGTAGTAGTTGAAGGGCGCATTTTTAATCATGTATTTTTCTGAGTCCAACGATCCCAGTTTGTCCCCAACGAGAACYGACTTCCCGTTCCCAGCATTCCCCACCAACATGACGGGCTTTCGGAGCTCCAGGAGGCGGTCCATGAAGTAACGGACTCGAATGGTCTCTGTCGTGTGGACCAAGCATGCCTGCACATGGGTAACACACAAACACAAACACACATTTGCATAAGCACCAAATACAATAGGGATAAGTAATGTCTATTCTAATTATCAAATAATCTGAATAATAAAACCTTTTTCTGTAAAATGTAAAAAGGTAGAGAATGCCTATTAGAAGTTCCTGGATTTCCTAAGAAGTTTAAAGTTGACAGAGTTTCKTGGTGGACAAACCATGTTTCTAAATGACCTCAAACAATCTGGATGTAACTGGATGTAAAATCCTTATAAGAACAAGCTGTTGTACCTGAAGTGGTGTATCTGCGTCCATGTCAAACTTGGGCACTATTTTGGACCATGGTTCAAACTTCTTGGTCTCGGGGTCGATGTAGTAATCAAACACAGTTCCCTGGGACGGGAACTTGATGGTTTTGAACTCAGACACCCACCACTTGCTGAACTSKACTCTGTAGTCGACCAGCTATTCAGAGAACACACGCAGYGATACGAGGGTCAATACTCAATACAAAATAACTTCCTTCCMGCTTTTTTCTCCTCCATACAGTAGCTATGGATCTGTGCCTCTCAGTTCCATTGGTGTGAATATGAAGCGGAAGACAAATAAACAGCAACAACACAGAGACGCAGCTGCAGCAGCTGAAGGGTAGAAAATGAGAGGTGGCAGGCCCATCTATCCYTCTGTCTGATTCAGACAGTGAAGTAGCCTCATCACCTGCTGCCTGGCAGCTCCCCACCTTCCTCTCTGCCCCCCCACCTCTTGGTACCTGTCTCCTCTTTTCACTACCAACTCTCCAGTCAATAAAACCACTTAGCATTTAAATGCATTTGTGATGGGAAAATAAAGTGGAGTACATTTGCACCAAGGGGAGAGCGGCTTTATCCCATAACTTAGACGGACGCACTTACTGTACAGCGCTAACTGGATTGCTTAGCAACTGCTTGCTACTGTGTGGCTCTCCTGCTTATCTACATTCAGTCATCCTGTGAGATGTTGAGCAGGAACAGAGTCCACTTTATTGTCAGATATCACTCCTCTCTTTTTAAAAAGCCAACTCAGAATAATTTTGAGTTGCGTAGGCGTCATCGAGGCATTAATAATACTGAGGAATACCCATAATGCAAGTGCAAAAAACTCTTTCAGGAAGGAAGGTGGAAATCATTCAGCTGTTTCACTTACGTCCCATTCTTCTCCCTATTTATGCAACCACTCAGTAAGCATCTCACATGGCCAGAGGCCCACACATTACCTGGTCCTGGAACATGGCTCCCCCAAAGGCCCAGACCGCAGCAAAGACAAAATACAGCTCGTAAAGTTCCAAGGCACAGTCTGGTGGGGTGTTTTCTGGAATCAGCAGACACTCCAGCAAGTAGCACAGCATCTGGACCATACTCTGCTCAGGGATGGGGATGATTTTCTTGAACCTGAGCAAAGACAGACACGTTATAATACTAGATTCAAGCATTACCACTGACTTGTGTGACTCATTGGGTAAGAATACGAGGTGCTGTGCCGAAAGAGTTAAAAAAAAGGTTAAATTATGGTTTCACTTTTTGGATTGTATCACAAATATTTAACAGAAACTGGATGATGGATTTATAAGCTGTGGCATAGTGGTGCATTTCTCAGGTTTTTGGCCTCTCATGGAGGACAAAATATTCCTCCTCTGCTTCCTGTTTTTCTTCTCTGCTCCAATAGCAGTGGTGACAGAGGAGTTAGAGGAGGCGAGTGGTCCTGTGCAACAGAAGAGAATGCAGGACAGCATCCAGTTCTTCTGAGTCAGACCCGGTTTGCTCCTGTCCAAACCGCCCACTTCTGCACAGTCCCTCTCCCAAGATATGTCACACCCCAACATCCTGCTTCAACTGGTAGTCACTGTGAGCTAATGTTCATAGCGACACAGAGCGGCAGAGGAGCTGCTTACCTCAATCTGAGGACGTCCAGGCAAGAGGGAAGGTACTTGTCGAACAGTATGGTCAGGTTGGCCTTCTCTGATTGAACCTCCCTCCTGTCAATCCAGCTGGATACTGGGGGGTTCCAGCCAAGGTCTGCTTGGTTTATGTACAGGATGCCTGGAGAGAACACAGGTACAATTATGAATAAAAAAATGGCCTGGCAATGTTTGATATTTTTGGCCAAATAAATAACTTATATCAGTGATTAATCAATTGTCATCAGTTTCAATTTCAGTTGAGAGACAAACTAAATCATTTATTTGATGTTGTGATTATTTGTTTGGGGCAACTTTCTAGTTTACTCCATGCTTCATTAGAAAGGCAATCATTCCATAATTGATTAATGGCAATTCCTTTCACATTATGTGCAGTCATTTTATTCATTACTTGTGAAAATATAAATAATTATTGCAGCTCTGAGGTCTCTGAAGAACACTTTTATTTCAAGCGGGCATGAACTGCAATCCCTGACTATCTGTGGTCTGCTCAAAAATATCATAATTAAGCTACAGCTGTTTCAGAAGTCTGTAGCTGGAGCGCTGACCTGGAACAGAGAAAGACATAACATCACTCCTGAACTAAAGTCCTCACACTGGTTGTCAATCAGCTTACGTATTGATTTTAAAATAATTTTACTTTTTTTCAAAGCACTTAGTGATCTTGCACCAGCAGGGTTTGAATGTATGGCTGCTCAGGTCCTCGGTACGAATCAGTTTCACAGAATAAGACAAGAAACTCAGGTGAGGCAGCTTTTAGTGTTTATGCTCCAAGCTGCTGGATTAGTCTACTTGAGGATTTAAACGCATTTAAATACAAGCTTAAAACCTATCATTGTAGCCTGGGTTTTATTAAGCATGGTTTTTAGACATTATATTTTAGCATCTTTGCTTTTTGTTTTATTCAATTTTATCCATCTGTTAATATTGTTAGGATTGTTTTGTTTATCCCATTTTGTTGACTTTTCTTTCTACTTTTATATTGTATTTCTTCTATTTAACTTTGCAAGACAAGAAACAAGACATGGTACAATAATAATAACATCATTTATTATCATTTTTTTATTATTATTATTTGATCACCTTTCAGAAAAAGTAAATTAATGAATAGAAAGTAATAAAGAGCAATACTTTTATTGTTTATTGCATTTATAACTTTTGAAATATATTTTATGGAATCTCATTGTTAGCATTTTATTAGTTTTGTCATGGCACATGTGAAGCGCTTTGAACTGCAACGTTAGATCGATTGTTTGAACCTAGATTTTCAATAAGTGGCACAAAGAGCAAAGAAAGACAAAACGCAAGAACTACCTGCTCTTGACACTGTGGCGGGGGTAGCAGTGCGGAGGTGGCTGATCTCGAACAACAGCCTCATGGTGGGGTTGAGAGTGATCCGCTCGTTACTGGCCAGAGTCAGCACCTAACAGAACCAGACACAATGCATGACGATATCACTGAGAGGGAATTTGCTCCATTTGTGCTTCCTCCTGAAACAGTTAATATACTGTCACTTTTTGATTGTTTGTGTGCAGAGATTTTTATAAACAGTCTATGGTGCAGAGTGAAGTTAGAAACCCTACCCTGTTTATCTGCTTTACTACTGTATACATATGGTTTATGTATAACTTTCAATGATTTACTTAACTGGGGTTATTTATTTATATATTGCATGTTAACTTTTTTAGAGGTTTGTTTGCAGCCGACACAATCTTCAGACCCAAGTTCACAACTTTTCAAAATAAAAACATTGCAGCGACAAAATTAACTTTGTGCTTTTACAATGTAGAGAAATTCCAAAAGAGAAAGGGATTCTCTGAATGTTGTTGCTATGACGGAGGGCAGCATCTGTGAATGTCTGTGTCAGTCCAATATTGAGGAGAAAAACCAAACAAACACAAAAAATGAAAAAGATGTGGCAAAAATTTAAATCTGCGGTTTAACCCTCTTACTGACAAATGCTGTAGTTTATCTGAGAATGTAAAAGATTGAAAGAACATTCTACTCTGTCCACAGACTGAAGAAATGCTGCCTGCCCCCCCCCCCCACTGATTGCTACAGATCGCTGGTCGCCTGTTTATTTGAATATTGAATGTATCACACGTCAAAAAATCACACCAAATTTTACATTGCACTTCCCTGAGCCGCTGAGACACATACCAAGTGTAAAGTCGTGAGATATGCGTTCCACAGACAGACAGGCAGAAGACAGACAGACTTTGTTGGAATAAGTAGGTAGATTACACACACACACACACACACTGTTGTTTATTCTCAGTTCAAACTCACTCTCGCATCAATGAGTCAGCCACAATCCCCTATTCATATTTGACTGCTCATTTACAGCAGAGAGTGAATGTGTCATTTTTATAACCCCACACACACACACACACACAATGTTCAACTTGCTCACACCTTGTTGTCATCCATGACTGTGTTGAGGGACTCAATCCACATTGGATCAATGTCTCCATCCAGAACAATCCACTTAGGCCCGCTGTGAGTGACATTGGACAGATCACGCATTATGCTGGAGAAAAGGCCTGCAGGAAGAGAGAGATCACACTCTGGTTAGTCTGGGCTCGTGTCGCTCTGTCATAAACTTTTTCTACATGACTCCTGCATCACCATCTTTCCACTCTCTGGTGGCTGGGTTGATGATCCCGAAAAGCTCGTCATTGGTCACAGCCTTTGGGTTGAGGTCGGTCCACACAGGTTTGCGCTTCATGTTCTGATAGGTCCGCTGGAGTGACCTCAGCACCTGACTCTTCCCTGTGCCGGTGTTCCCGATCACAAACACAGAGTGGCGCACGGCCAGCAGCTCCTCCAGCTGCACCACCTATAAAACAAACAGGGTGAAACATTTTAGATAATGCTTTGTCTTCGTCACATGGAGGCACACAGATCGTCATTGGACCGTTTACAGAGTGATATAGAATTTCATGGGCTGCAGCACTCAGTCCACTGTATCCTCGATGTTCTAGTTTCAGTGAATATAATGCAATGCAGACTGACAGGGTAGTGTGCTGCACTGCACTGCGGTGCAGCAGTTTAGTATACTGTTCACAGACTACAACAAATGACGGCAGCGTTCTTCTGGAAGGACAGGTATCTGCACCCTCATTTGCACATCTAAAGGGGCAGTACACCAATTTTGCACAGGAAGATAATTATCACAGGAATAACACTCAGCATGTTCTTTGCAGATTTGAATAAAAATGTTAGCAACATAAGCAAATGAGCTCTCAAATAAAATTGTCATCACTTTTTTAATCAGTGGGAGTATTTAAGTTTGGGGAAAGAAGCTCTAAAGGACATTAATTATTATCTATTTTCAAAACTATTAAAAGATTATTTTAGCGTGGTTCTGTTTTCCTTGACTCAGTGGTGTAACATTTCCTGTGAATCCAGGTATGTGTGGCGACACCACAGAGCAGGTAACAGAGAGTGACAGAGAGAGGAAGGGGGAAAGAGAGATTTCCTCCCCACTTCCACTCAAACATACAGATGGCGGAGCTCAATCAATGCCATCGACCAGGCTCCTTGCTGCTCCTACTCATCCGTTCAGCCGGGGCGCAGGCAGGCGGCTTTACACTCTCAAAGGCCCCAGCTGATTACTGCTTTGATGCGGGGAGGACTAATGCTAGCACAGGCTAACACTTTAAGGTATGCACTCTCTCTCTCACCTTGCCCGCTCCCCCTGAAATCAAAAGGTTGGCCATACAAACAAAGGCAGTAAAAGTTCAGGCTCTGGGTGTGGATGGTTGTTATTGACCGACATGCCATTCTCTCTCCCCCTCTGTTTCTCCTCCTCTTTGTTTATTTCTGTGGCTGTCTCTCATAATGTCAGGGTTAAGTGGCATGGTGCAGTGCCAGTCTCTATTGATGGACTGTTATTACGTGGTTCCCATGTCTATTTGACCTGAGGCAGATTGCACTTATTTCCCCTGGTCCTGCGTTCATGTGACTCTGACACATAATGCTTTCTACTGTGCATGTGTGTGTATGTCTTTGTGTGTGTGTGTGTTTGTTTGGGCCCTTAACCTGAAAACACACGAACCCATGGAGAATTGTGTAACTGTGGAGACAAAAATTGAGGTTCCAATGGGTACAGACTACTGTGTGAGGGTTAAGACTTGGTTTTAGGGTTGTGGGTAGTATTTGGTTTAGGTTAGTTTGAGGAGATGGTGGATGCAGTATGTCTCCTTATGTTTGCTTGGATATTCTGCTTTCACAGTCGAGACTAGAAATGATCTGTTTGTGTGAATGTGAGAGTGAATGTATGTTGGCCCTGCACTAGAGACCTGTCCAGAGTGAACCCTATCGCTCAATGTCAGTGGGGATTGGCTCCAGATCCCTCTGGAAACCCTCAAAGGATAAGCGGTATAGATAATGGATGGATGAATAAATGCTACAACTCCAACATCTAATATCTGATAAATTGTTAAGGATGAAACTCCCATTCAGGGACTTTGCCTTTGCTTCTCAAACAACTTGAGTTTGCCTTTATCCTTGGTTTAGCAACATTTTAACTTTCACATCTTTTACATCAGCAGACAAGCATGAGACCTCTCAGCAGGCTGTCAAGGAATCGTGTTTCCTCTACCTTGAGTATGAAATTGTCCTCAGCCTGTAACTTCAAGTCCAGGATGGACGCCTTCACGTGCTTCTCAAAGTCCAAATCTCTCTTCCTGGGCACGTCCAGGGCAGGAAACAGATCTCCGATCAGCCCCATGAACACTGGCATGTCGTCTGTCACAATCTTGGGGATGTTGAAGTCTCTCAGTGCTCGCATCAGCACCTGGTCCTCTGCTCTGTCGGGGTCTCCTCTCTTCAGGGAGCCGGCCACCACCAGTACTGACTTAATGGCTCGTAGGCCCCAGTCATAGTGGTCCTTTGATAAAGACCAGAGAAATATCAGTGAGCAGAGGAAAATACACAAATACACATGAATCGTCATCACACTTCATCCAAATTTTCAATTCATCACTGGTTCATTTAACCAATTCAAATTAAAATGACTAGTCTCCATATAAAGTAGACAAAAGATAATTTAACCAACTTTTTATTGTGAGTTTTCTCTGTCACCAGTTTTGTTTTATACTTCATTAATTTATGCATATACAATTGAATGCAAAAGTTCAACTGTGACAAGAAATAAATCCAATCCCTTCAGCGAACAGATACTAAAAATTTGCCTTTCTTTATGTTAATGAACAGTTACTTTCATAAAAAATATAACAGTACTTCATCATCCCCACAACCAGCCCCCATTCTTTTTTAGAAGTCTGCCACTTTCCGCTCTCACTGACCGGAGGATATTTGCATTCAGAATGTGCTGAGGAATCTAATCTTTGGTCTGCCTGTGCCGTTTCCACCAACAGGCTGAGTAGTGACAGGAAGCTCTTTAAGTCAAATGCTGCTTTTCTATTTACTCCAAACAAACCTTTTCCGGCAGCGTGGCACTGCTGCGACCCAGGTTCTGTCCTCATGTGAAACTGCAGGCTGGACAGTGCCCAAAGCAAATTCCCCCACTGGGACAATAACTAATTTCTTATCTTATCTTATCTGTGGCCAAATAACTTCAACAGTCCACTTGTTGTGGACAGTGTGGGATGAGGTCACTTCCTTCCGAGGTTTCTGCACAGTGGAATGATGCATGGCCATTCCTGTGTCACCTGAACCTTCCTCTAGCTACTTTGCAGACACAGGGGGGCTTTACCTTTCCTATGTTTGCAATAGACATGCAGTTTTATCTGAATATTTTTTGGTCATCCACAACTTGTCTTGACTCCCACAGTTTCTCTTAAGTGCCTTTTCCTATTGACATTTCAGACAGTGGATATCTTATCATAGCCACCCCTGATTTATAGGCATCAATTAGATCCCAACTACTGACCACAAAGTTTGAAGAATCTGCACTTATCACCTCTGGAAATCAGCTGACCTTTTTATTCCTAAAGCACTTCCTACAGTCTCAATTAGGAACAATAACTTTGTAATCAGTTATTACGCTTGATTGTTTTCTATTTGTCAGGTTCACGAATTAAAAAAGTGACAGTGCTAGGGTTGTTTTGACATGTCTTCACTTCATGAATCTACAAAATGTGACTCTGCCCAGAGGTGGCCAAACCTTTACAAAAAACTCTATAGCTTACATTTAATTTATCAAAGAGCAGCAGTGGAATGCACTGAGACTGTCCAGAGGCTTTCCAGGTTAAGAGGGAGAGCAAGGCATAACACTCAAAAAAATCCATCCATCCTGAAATATAAAGAAAACAGGGGAGCACCAGTTCACTTATTATTTCAAGCTCTGGATAAAACTCCTATAATATCCATTATGGGACTCACAGTAGAACTTCTTCTGTGGAATTCAGGGCAGGCTTAAAATCATCTTTGTTCTGTAATGTAACTTTCAACATACATTTTTGAACTAGATCTAAATTATGTATCATTGTGTCAGTAGCATGAGTTCATTGGTTTTCAACCAAGGTGGCATCATTAACTTGAAGTCAGCTGTCCCAAACCTCTGAATTTACTCCATGAATACATCTGAATGATTGATTTGATGTAATTGTAAACTCCACTAAATTACAGTATCAACTTAGGCCTCCCCTTATTGTCATAATCTGGTCTGGTGGTCTTATGGTGACAAAACCAACAGCAAAAGTCCAAAACAAATACACAAAGGCTGCAACCATACTAACACATTTTAGTTTGAAAATGCCCTCTTCCCTGTCTACACAAAGGTTTTAGCTCCATAACAGTTTTAATCCCCGTCCATACTAATAAACCTGAATATGTATGTCACGTGACCACTCAAGTACACTGGACATGCAGGTGCCGGTGTATGCAGGAAGCATTTGGTTGTACAATATTAGAATAATAGCTTGTCTCCTACGCATGTAAGCAGTTGTATTATTGTAAAATGCAGAATTTAACTACACAACAGCTGTTAGCAAAGACAACAGGGTCAGCAACGCATGTAATTGATTATCCTTGTTGCGCTCTACACTGGTAGCTGAGGCCCATGCCTTTTGTTTTATCCCAGATGAGGTTCACGGGTAGGAGCCTGACGCATCACCAAAGGCTATGTTATGAAAGAAAAGACCCAATCAGCAAATGGTTGAGAGAATGTACGTCATCATCTCCAAACATCTTTGTTTCTGCCTCTTCAAATTCAGCCCCAAGGTTTCAGACGTTTTCAAACAAAACGTAGCTGCCTGAATTTAATGTCACAGAACTAAGAAAAGCAGCCAATACATCTGAGAGGATGTAGTCAGAGAAATTCTGGGGCGTTTTTGCTTGAATTTACTTTAATAAGACTTCAATCATTGGATTTGTAGCAGCTGACCAGTCAAGGCTTGATGCACAGCAGGGAGTCAACTGCAAATTGTTCCAAGGGGGCTCTAAAAGGTTAATCTGTACCTCATGATGAGTTTATGAAAATGTTCTCCTCTGATATCAGTGTAATATTAAAGGTCTTGTCTGTGCCTATCATTGCCTAATGGCAAAAAACGTGTCTGCCAGTTAGGGGGTATAAATTGCTGCACAAAAGGCTCTAATCTGTTCATTATTGATTCAAGTCTGACCACAAAATCCTGACCCCAGATTGTGTCAAGTTCTGTTTCTAACCACACATAAATCTTCTGACTACAGTCACGTTGAACCATCCTCTGGTGATGATTATTAGACCCCGTACAGAACTGGTATTAACATCCATCCTGAGTGATCACAAGTGACAGCTCCAAGTTCAGGTGTGAATGCACCCCAGACGCACTGAGGACGCATTTGAGATGCCATCATTCAGACCCAGTCAGAAGAGGGCTAGGACACATGTGGCCACATTCTGTTATCTGCGCGTACACAAATGTGTCCTGGTCATATTGAAGGACCACATAATCAGCTCATGTCCACTGACCCGCTCATGAATAAAACCTTTTTTTACACTTCTCAGTACTTCACACACTGATTTACTTGTGGTCACAGCCACAATATTAATACTGACCACTACATATTGATTTTATGTTTTCTTTGAAATTTCAAATGAGTTAAATCTTTTTAATTGTGTGCACTGCACATTGATTCACTTGGCCCCTACTTACCCCACTTAGTCTCTCTCTCTCTCACACACACACACACACGCACAGTGACAATAGACCCGTCTGTCATAGTCAGACTGGCTAAAAGCAAAATCAAATTCAGTCTTTGCAAACAGAAATGTAGCTCTCTTCTGTCCCCTTTTTTCCACCCACCTATCCTCTCACCCCCAATTTTCTATTCTCTAGAGTAGGGTTCTGTTTACATGTTAGGTTGAGAGCGGTGCTTTACATTCCTACAACCCAACAGTTAAATCACCTACAACAAAGCACTTTACACATCCACATCAGGATCACAACATCCACACCCACATACAGTGGTGTGGGTCAGCCCAAACAAGAGAACTTACACAGCCGTGGAAGTAGAGGCCCCAAACTTATCACTTATCACAACTTCCCCAGCAGGGGAAACAGCAGAGTCATTCTGCACAGGCCCATGCAGCAGAATGTATATTAAATCCACAATTATGAACCAGTGTTTACCTTGAGAAAGTAGCTCTCTGAATCACTTGCCATTGATTTGCAGTTTCAGCCCTTGTGAATAGAGCTTAGAGAAGCAGTCTGTTCATTATAATTTGATTTCATTACCACTAAGTTGCTAATGGTAGAAAACTTGTAACAGAACTCAGGCAAACAACAACTAAAAAAGTGTTGTTACAGTAATATTTAAAAATGTCTGGAGAACTAGAGCTTCAAAAAACATAAAAAAGGAACTGGTGTGCTTTGAGATTGAAATGAGGCCTGTGGTCGTGGGAAATTCTTATTGAACTAATTATATCGCTTATCTAAAGTTATCTGCACTCCACTGATATTAAAAGGCAGCACTGTACATGATCCCATTGTTTCCTTTAATTATGTCATGGATGTAAAACATCACATGACTAGAAAATAATAACAATAATATTAATAATAACAGCTTGAATTTATGTAGCGCCTTTCAAGAGACCCAAGGACGCTTTCCATACATCTTTGATGACAAAAGAGAAGAGACAAAAGTAATTAGCACAGAACAGGATAGAAATAAACAGCACTAATGGCAGGGTGGAGCATTTACTGAGGCCAAAGGCCTTAGTGGACAGGTGGTGTAGGCTGTCCAGAGATGTAGCGTTGTGGATTTCGGCGAGGAGAGAGGATGAAAGAAAACATTTTTAGACGGAATAACATCACCACCCTGCAGCTTCTCATTCATATGCATGTAACACTCCACTCTGACAGTCAAGTTAGCGACTCAGCTCTTGTGTGGTGCCTCTCAGTCATTCCTTTATCAAAAGCCTCAAATGTGTTGAAAAAGAACATTGTGTCAGTTGTCAGGCTTTGAAGTGGAAATAGATGTGTGTATTCTTTAACCAGATCAGATGCGTAATATTGAAGAGATCAGACAGTACCTGTTTGGACAACAGCTCTTTACACAGTGTGTAGAGAGTGATAAACTTCCTAGCGAGGACCCGGGCGTCAATAAAGCCCTCAGCCACCAGCATGATTTCACAGATCAGCTCGAAGTCTGGCACCACCATGGCACAGGGTCTGTGGAGATGTGGACACAACACATTGAAATGAGCTCAATTCTCGTACATCATCATAATTCTAGACAAATAAATGTTTTTGTCATCCACAGAGCATCATTTGACCATTAACTCTTGGTAATTTTACATCATTTTGACAACATGTGCATTAACTATAATTAATGCCCTGCAGTTGTATGCCTCTGCCAACCACTCGGATTCGGTCTACATTGTTTTTAATTCAAGACTCACTCACTGTGACCTTTGACCACTGAAATTGAATCAATGAATCTTTGAGTCTAAGTGGCAACTGGTAAATTTGAAGACATTCCCTATAGACTGACTCGAGATATCATATTATCATAGTGGCCAAAAACATGCTTTGAGAGGGCACCAATACCTTTACATTTGATCCCCCCAATTCAATCAGCTAATCTATGAGGCCAATTAAAAAGGATTCACTTAAGATGATGCGTTTAGAGGTCATAGTGACCTTTGACCTTTGACCACCATCAAGTACATTTTTTAGTTTGAAGAAATTCAATGTTAAAAACGGATGTTAATTAGATGCTGCATTCAAAAGACCACAATCATGTTGGACCTTTAAATTCTAATCAGTTCATCCATGAGTCAAAGTGAAAAATTCTACCAAATTTGGAGAAATTCCCTGAAGGCACTCTTGCGATATCGTGTTCACAAGAATGACACGGACAACTTGAAAACACACTGCCTCCAGCCACTTTCTGTGGCACAGAGGCATAGAAAGCAGAGAGATGTCAGCTTAAATACACGACACAGTCCATCATATTTAAACACCTACTGTAAACCATCACAATTAAACCAGCCACACAGCTCTGCGCCAATATGATGTTCTTTATCCCACTAATGCTTTAGGCATTTTCCATTAAATCAAATCTGTCCTTTCAGAAAGGACATAATACCTGGCATGCTCTCCCTCCCTTTCATTCCTGCACTTGTCTTGATTCATGTACCTGCAGCCTTGTGGGAAACTTTTGCCTGCAGGCTTCTCCTTCGTCTCTTTGGACTGGACTAGTTGGAATGTGACTTTAATGTAAAAATGTGTGTAACAAAAATGTAATCAGGGATATATATAAAAGGATGTTTTCAGTTATTTAAAAATTGTTACTGCATTTATTTATTATTGTATGTTAATAAGTAATAAGTAGTTCACTCATCACCTAAATTTGTAGGTTATGAGTAAGGTCCTGTTGACAATATGATTTATATTACAGTATAGTTGGTTTATTAGATACTCTTTAGGACTGGCTACACATGTTGAAGGGTTGGTTCACTCAAATGACATGGTTTCATTTGACCAGGTTTTGAGATAACTGACATCTGCTTCTATCCTGAAACACAGAACTCAATGTCAATAGTTCTTAATATAGTTATGTTTGGTAAAGAAACAGTCCCTTTATCTCTATTTTGTCGCGTAAATTAACTTAACATGGAGACTCAAGCCAGATGAGCAGCAGATGAAAGAGTTCTGGTAGGATAACTACCTTCTAACATCACGGCAGCAGAGATTTTTTGCCATGTTCACGTTTAAGTGACATCACTTGAGGATATTAATGAGATTTTGTCGCTGCTCTCTCTGGAGAGGCTTTACGCAACCTTCCGAGTAGTACTCTCCCATTTCTAGACACAGAATTTGATGTGTGAAACTGGTGACACTTCTCTTTTGGAAGCATCAGCGGAGCTATTAGAGTTTATCCTGAGGAGAAAACAAGTTTCTTTATGAAATCAAGCAGATGTAGACATAAGTAAAGTAAGTAAAAGAAAGACATCTCATTTCTGTAATAGAAAAGTCACACACCAAATTTGGATGTCTCTGCCAAATTTCATGGCAATCTATCAAATAATTTGTGAGATATTGCAGTCATGGACCTCATTATCAATGGTGTAGTGAGTCTAGCCTTGTCCAGTGTTGTGAGGAATTGGAACCTATAGTAGCTCATAATTACTGAAGAGGCGAGATTCACCTCAGGTCAGAAGTCTTTCATAGGGCAAGTAAAAAAAACGGTGAGATTTTATTCTTTCAAAGGCAGCGACAATGTTATCTATCCATTTAAATTGTATGTAATTAACATTTCTCTGGATAATCATATGAGTAAAAGATAGCAGGTGGTAGCTAATGAGAAAACTGAGTCATTTTACTCACCTGAACAGAGCCTTCAGGTTCTCAGGAAGCTCAGTCCTGCCAGCGTAGCCGGGATTCATTGTGATGAAGATGCCGACGGTCGGGCAGAGATTCACATCCTCTCCCATGAAATTAAATCTCTTCTTCTTATCTCGAATGGCGTCCTGGATACTCTTGACCTGCACATGAATAGAAAAGAAACACAATGAAATGTCACTGATGGGTTTACTGGGTATCCAAACTTTTTGAAGAACAAAATAACATCGGTAGATAACAAACTATTTGTGTAATTGTTTTATGAGAAAAAATAACAAGACTAAGATAGTAGAGTCATGTTAGCAGTTCTCTGATATTTAATTTTGGCACAGCAGTGCTTTGAGCGACAAGTAAACATGAGTAGCCATACTAAGACACTGGGAACATGCTGATGATAGGCATGTACATCGTTCAGCATGTCTGCCATCTTGGTTTAGCATTCAGCATTTATTTAACCAAGAAAGCCCCACTGAGTTCATCAACATATCGTTAATATCACTCAGCAATTACCAGAGTCTATTAGTTACACCCTGTCACTTTGTTATGCAGCATACACCTTTTTTTGAGGGACGCAATTTCATCAGTATGGGCGTGCTATCAGCCAGGGTTTATTGGATGGATAAACTGCCAAGGCTCAGTTTGTCTACATTATGATTGAATGAGATATCAGACATGAACTTTTTGTGCATGTGCATGTTAGTTTGGGTCTAAAACTCTGACTCCCAGCCGGTAAGAGGCTTTATGGATTTAACATGCGTGTGGTAAAGGAGCGTAGCGAGTCGACAGCTGGAAAGAGGAGGAACATCTCTTCATGGATGAGTACTCGGCTACAGATCACTCAGTCATACTAACACAACAGGGAGAGGACAAATGCAAATGAAAAAACAAACAGAGCAGCTGCAGCACAAAAAGAGAATAAAAGTTTTCATGAGAACATCAGTGGGGCTTTTTATGTGAAATGACAGCAGCCCACCACTGTCGTCCTACAGGGATATGAAGGGGAGCAAAACAGCAAAAGCACAGTTTAAAGAAGTTCATGAACAGACACCATTGTGAAAGGTGTGATCCAGTGGGATGTGGCCCATCTCTTTGCTGTCTCAATGACAGACTGGAACTGGCAACATCGCAGTCCAAGGCAGCTCTGGCTGTAGCAGAGGCAAAACCTCACCAATTTATCTCCATGTTGTTCCATGTGACGGCCTTCTGTTTGTCTCTGCTTTATTTAACATAGAACTGGTCCCGCCACCTGTGTTAGCAGACCCCACTGGCAGTGTGTCACTGCGCAATGCTAGCTGCTCCCGCTTTAAGGGGATGAATTAGGAATGTGTGCTACGGGAAGCGATGGCTCCGACGAAGCAGGCTGGCCACTGGAGCGGGCTGCCAGCTGTCACAGCAGGAGTTTGACGTTCCTCTGTTCTCAAGGTCTACTTCTCCATGTATTAGGCACCGTGATTTATTATTCATTACGCCATGCATGCAACACCTATTCATTCTACTGGCACTGGAAATTCTCCAAGTGCAGAATTCAACAGCTTACAGAAGACGAGAGAGAGAGAAAGAGAGAGAGAAGGAAGGACAGGCAGAAAAGTGACGGGTAATTCTAGCAATGAATAATGATTCTTTGAGGAACTTTAGTTCCATTATCATCACGGTCATAATCAGCCTCCTTCTCAACTGTACACATTTTTGCTTTGACAGTATTGCCCACGCATGGCAATAGTGTCTGGGGCAACAGCCAGCAGGATTTGAAAACACCAGCGGGACTTATGAAAGCACAGAGAGAGGATCTGTTTGATCCGGGATAAATGAATGCAAGATAGCAGAAAAGCTAGCATCAGCTGAAACGCAAAGAATATGACTGATTTCTCAAAAGAGGCATATAATCAAAGGGCCAGCTACTGTAGGTTGCCCAGGGTGTCCACTACTGCAAGTGTGGAGAATATGAAGCTTTTAAAACTTTTTTTAATCTGTCACTGTGCATGAAGTCGAGACAGAAGAGGAGGATGAAGGTGAAGACACTCTGCAGTTCATTCAGAGGTAATGATTTAACTTGCATGGATGCACAACTTAAATCCTCTTTGGCTGACTTTTTTTCAAGCAAAATAAACAGTTTAAAAAAACGTAATGTGACTAACAAGTCAGTGGCCTGTTTACACATTCAGCAATCACAGAGGAAAATATCTATTCACACCAATCACCCCACTATTTTCACTAGCTTTGTCTTCTCTAAACTTTATTACAAGGAATTTATTGTCTGTGTTTGTCTCTTAGTCAAAGGGATTCGTACAAATTAGAGGACCGATTAGATGAGACTTGGTGGAGGAATGTGCTATGGGTCAGGAAAGAACTCATTCAAGTTTGGGGAGGGTCCAGATCAGGGGGCAGATCCAGGAAAATGTTTTCACTTTCTTTACCATCGTGAGATAGGGCGTTTTGCAACATTTCATTGATTTCTCAGAGAATTAATCTTAGATACATTTTGTGCAGATCCAAATAAAGATCCAGCTCTAGTGAATTCATTAAGGGACTGTTGGGCCTTGGCTAAGATATATGCACTCTACAGAAACAATATTAAAACTAAACACAAACTAAAACAAACTAAATAAACTTGGGGCAGGGATCATTTACAATAATTAATAAAAAAGATGTTTAATGCAGCTAGAAATAGAAGTTATGTTAAGTTAAGATATTCAAAAGATAGGCTTAAACTTTCCACAGATTGACAGAAGCATCAGATTTAGGAGATAACTCTGAGGGTTTGTCACCATGAGCGACACCTTTGACATTACAAATCATCATTTGATCCATTGTTAATGTGCAAATATAAATATGAATTAATAAAAACATTCTATCCTATACCTCAATACAAAGGAGGTGAGAGTATTGTGTTCACGTCATTGAAAAGCAAAGCGTTTAAAAATCTAAAATAAGCAATTCAGGAGAAGTGTCCCTGGTGGTCTGGAAGAGGCAGAGAACCTTTGTCAACTGTTGGGCTATTATTCAGTAAAAATTAGACCCAGTTTAAACTGTTCTCATTCACTGTTGCCAGACACCTTATATTTAATTGTCTAGATTAAAATAATGTTAGGTGGATTGTGATTATTTGTGATTCTACTCAGACTCCGCTCACAATCAATCACTTCAGTTCATTACAACAAGACCGAATTTCTTTCTGTTCTGTCATAGATTTGCGATTATAGTCATCTATTGTTTCTGTTTCACAGAACATTATCCCAAAGCTGTGTGTCTATTAATTGTATTTTGATCAATTTCAAGATACTTCAAATTATGAAACACACAAAAGTGTTTAATGTGTACATATACAGAGTTGACAAAACAAATACTAAATAGAATTAAATATTAAAATATTGGTTATTTCTATGACAAGCTCCTTCAAGGCTCAGTCAGAGCTATTTGTCAGTCAGTCAATTACAACACAGCTTGCTACTTCACCAACATGATTCATTTGAAAGCAAAAAATCAGGGTTGTGCTCAGAGAACTGAGCAAATATTCATTTGGCCAAATTATTGTGGCACATCCTTTGTGAGTTTTAAGTGGGTCCAACCAGAAATGCTATTGTAGGAGAGAGAAGATCATGACCAGTACCACAGGCGAGCAAATAAGGAGGAGGTTTTCCATCTTCCACCCTCAAATCAGATCAGAGAAGCCTCTGATTATAGAGAGGCTCTGGGGTCCAAAGGTGCCAGCTTTGGTGAATTAGTCTTATAGCTGAAGCAATTTACGCCTGCAATGGGCGATGAAGAGGCTATTTACTTCCTCAACTCTGTTTTCAAAGGCTTATTTTCGCCTCAACTTGATATGGATGGACCACCCCCTCAGATAAAATGTAAAGTTTCACATTTAAGCCCCATACACTCAGGGTGCAAACACACAATGACGTCTCGACCTGAAGGGAGGCAGCAGAACTGGACTTGTTCTCACCTGTACGGCCACCACAGACAGCACCTCCACTGAGATCCTGTTAAACTCGTCAAAGCAGCCCCACGCCCCCGTCTGAGCCAGGCCTTTGTAGATGTTCCCACAGGACTGGTGGACACAGAAAGACAAAGATATTCAGATTGACACAGTGGGACAGGAAGTCGTTCTGTTAGGCTCTCTGATGGAGACCTGGTCTGACTCAGAGATAATGCAGGTGGCAAAGCAGACAGAGACGTATCACCAATTAGACAGAAGATATATGGGAGAAACTGTCTTTGCAGCAACACAGCAGCCTGAGAGTAGGCGAATAATTACAGGATGATACAAAACAGGGCCCTGATGGCAAAACGAGAAAGGCTAAAATGTCTACCACCCACATTTTAGCTTTCGTCTCAACTTGAGAACAGGTGAACAGCCCTTAGGAGAGCAGCTGGACCAGGATGAAGCAGGCAGCTGACTTTTCTCTCCAATTACAGGGCCAAGGAAACCTTCTCTGACGCAAACCGGAGCTGACTGGAGGATTGATCCATCCTGATGTGTGAGTGTGTTTGTTTGTGTGTGTGTGTGTGTGTGTGTGTGTGTGTGTGNGTGTGTGTGTGTGTGTGTGTGTGTGTGTGCACGTGTGTTTGTGTGTATATGTGTGTGCATAACTGAGTATGAGTAATACTGTGATGCTCTGAAGCCAGCTTCTATTGCCTGCGTTCCTCCTGGAGTATATTAGCACTTCTCTCTGACACCTTGCTGCAGTGTGTATAGCCTGGGGTGCTGTACACCTCTATACCATAATGATGCCCCCATCTGGGGGAAGCAGGAGCAAGCTGCATCACAAGATTATGTTTATGTCTCCCTTGACCGCTTTATATGCAGAAAGTATGAGAGTTAGAGTGTACAAGTGTGCATAATAACACAAGGTGGAGGCTGGATACAGAGAGGGCATTACAGGAGAAATAACAATCAGAGTTTAACTAATCAGCTCTTCTCAAACAGAAGATGAAAAGGAGGTAGATGAAAAGAGGAGGACGAGAATGTGGGTTGACAACATTAATGACAAATGCATACCGTATCGCTGACAAAGGCAGAGATGAAAAGAAACATGCTGTGAGTGCACGTGAGCTACCTGCACAGGCTCGAGTACAGACGCAAGTGCGTGTTAGCAGCAGCTCACCTTGTAGTCCATCTGCTCGGAGCAGTTGAATACGTAGACCATGATGCCCAGAGCTCGGCCCAGGTCTTTGGTCGTCTCAGTCTTGCCTGTGCCAGCGGGACCTGCTGGAGCTCCACTCATGGTCAAGTGTAAGGACTGGGTCAGGGTGATGTAGCATCTAAACACACACACACACACACACATGCCTGTTGATATGACAGATATGATTCAGCCTGCTCTTCCATTTATAGACATAGATACTTCACTCCATTCACTCACTCTGGGGACCTTGACTACAGAGGGAAATTTATAGTTGTGTTACGTCTTGCGTTATCTTGTGGGTATATATTAGCGTTGTTTTCTTTTTATCTCTGTTTTTACTATTATCATTATTATTTGTGTTCTTCCTTCTGAATTTTACCCATTTATTGTCTTGACTTTTGTAGTTAAAAACGTGTCTAGAAATAAAGAAAAAAAGATTTTTTTTAGAACAGCAATTCATTAGGAAGTCACCACTTTCAGCGAATTACTTTTCGTGTATACTTCAACCACAATTTGATTTTCTTTTTTTGGCATTTCTGAATCTTACAGATTAAACTTTGAGAGTCGTTCCCCTATTTTCAGTCTTAATGCTAAGTATTACATACAGGCCTGTATGTTATGACATTGGTCTTATTATCTTATTTTGGAAATAAAGTGAAAAACAATATAATGGCGGGTCAAACTCTCAAGACAGAGCAGGGAAACAGAATTTCCTGTTCAAATTCATTAATGCATGTTGCAGCAGCCATGACTAGAAATGGACTTCAAATTCTAAATACCATTCAACAAGCAGATTAAAGAACAAAGAATGAGATCTAGCTCTTGATACCAAATATAATTTATAGAAATTAGAAACTACAATTCAAAAACTCTACTGTAACACAACATGAATGGCTATGGGACACTACACCATACTCCAGCTGGGCCCTCCTCCAGTAAAGGTTTACAGTGACAATGACCAAAATATTCTATGGTCCTGAGGTCCACTATTGACAATGTGTCCTAAAATTAAGAGAAATATAAACCCAAACCCAGGAAGGGAAAGAAAAAAAAAATGAATACCTTCCAAATATGGCAATGTACAAAGCTAGGCGTAAAAACCAAATGACTGCGATAAAAAAAGCTGCATAGCTAACTCTGACAAGTACACAACTGATAATATGTGATTAACTTCTGATGGGGGTTGCAAGCAACTTGACATCTGCTGCTAGATTTCATCCATGAAATTTCACAGGACCTTCGAGCGTACAAGGGATATACACCATTTTGTCCAATTCAGTAAAAAATGTTGTGTGTTAAGTTTGCCAGATGCTCCCATTTACTTGGTCAGATGAATCTATGCTTCTAAGAGCAAATACTGACAAACAGAGGATACATTTATAAAAAATGCACAATAGAATACAATTGTATTTTGTCGCTGCACTACAAGAACTGCACAGGGTGAAAATGAGTTGACAGAGTCTTCTAACGAGCACTAACAATGCCTTGGTGTTGGCTCAGCCGTCATCATACATAACCTCATTATATGATAATATAATCTGCTCCTGTGCTTTGATTATCACACAGGCTGATTAGTGACGCCAGTGATTGCTTCTCCCGCAGAACCTGTCAGAGCTAACAAACAGAGTGCCCGTCTAGCATCAATAAAAAGGAGCAGCACCACGTGAACTGATGGAGACAATCAGGACTTTATTGATCAGGGCAATAAACACTATGGTTTGCCTTGAATATCAATACAACAATGATTTTAATGAGCTGCTGGTTAATGGATGATGTATGGAAGGGGAAAATATTGGAAAGCATAAGGGGAGAGAGAGGTTTCAGAGAAGACAAATGATCCCATCTGTATACAGTGTATCATTCGGATACCAGTGCCAACAGGCTTTATGACCATCCCTTGAAATATGGCCAAAAATCTCACTATCAGTCGTTGAGGAGGCTGGATGAGGATGTCTTGTACAGAATAACTAAAGCCAGAAAGGAGACAAGGGAGTGAAACTAAACTGGGTGGCCGTGACAAGGTGACTCGTTTTATTACAGTGTTTTTAAAAGGAGCAGCTATATATCAGTCTGTTGCTCTGACTCATTCTCCTTCCAATCCTTAGTCCCTCTCTGCTGTCTGTGTGTGTGTGTGTGTG